ATAGATAGATAGATAGATAGATAGATAGATAGATAGATAGATAGATATTGTTGTGGTTAGCCCGCAGCAGGTGCAGACAGTGGAGGAGAGCGAGGACTCAGATGAGGGAGAGAGTCAGAGATGATAGATATATAGAGATAGCAATAGATAGATAGTTAAGATGATAGATAGATAGATAGATAGATAGATAGATAGATAGATAGATGATAGATAGATTTAATTCTTTATTGGCCAAGTGTGATTGGACACAAGGAATTTGTCTTTGTTGCATGTGCTCTCAGAAAAAAACCATTAGAGTTTTCCCATCATTTCTGCAGCCTCCTGTTTCTTTTGGAGGAGACTTTTGGGGGGGGAGGTTATAAAAGAAAAATATGAACATCAAGAACAAGGCCCTTCCTCATCTTGCCCCCTCTGGACATGACTGCCTGCCCCATCAGCCACAGCCCTTGCAGCCGAGATCCGGAAATCCTCCATCTGGACTCATTTTGAGCACTTAGGATTCTGCCCATGCACAGAGGGAGGAAGTCCGCAGTTGTGGAGGCACTTCGCGAGACAGCCGGCGACTTCCTTTGGACCCAGGCAGGCAGGCAGGAGAGGCACAGCCCCCTCTGGGGAGGCTAAACAACAATAAAATGAATGAGCTGGAAGGGACCTTGGACGTCTTCTAGGGGGAGAACCTGTCACATTTCAGATAAGCGACTGTTTTCGGTTGCCCAGAACTTGCAAGGTGGCCAGGATCTTTCTGTTTGAAACAGCCCGGCCACATCCACTCACCCAAGGAGAAGTGAGGAGCCTCCTCCATCCAGACAAGCAAGGCTGGGTCAAAGAAATCTATCCAGTTTTTTTTTAATTGGCTGCCCTTTACCTTTCTCCAAAGCTGAAGGAGGTCGTGCTGAAGAGCGGCAAGGTTCTCCGGGCAGACGTCTGCGTGATCGGCATAGGTAAGTCTCTGGAGTGCTTTGGGGGCGGCTTCTGGGGGGACTCAAGAAGCCCAAGATGGCACCAGGCCTGCACAATCTAAGCCCACTCTCTATGCGAGTCCCATGCTGTGCTGCCCCACTTACTCACTCACTCTCTCTCTCACACACACACGTAAGTGTGGTTTATGGAGAGTTTTGGGAAGATAGAATTTTTTATTGGCCAAGTGTGATTGGACACACAAGGAATTTGTCTTGGTGCAAATGCTCTCAGTGTACATAAAAGAAAAGATACATTCATCAAAAGTCAAGAATCATCAGGTGCAACACTTAATGATAGTCATTGGGTACAATAAGCAATCAAATCGTACTAGGAAACAGTCAATATAAATCGTAAGGATACAAGCCACAAAGTTGCAGTCACAAATGGGAGGGGATGGATGATGATGAGTGAGGAGAAGATTAATAGTTATAGTAGTGCAGACTTTGTAAATAGTTGAACCGTGTTGAGGGAATGATTTTTTTAGCAGAGTGATGGCGTTCGGGGGAAAATTGCCCTTGTGTCTAGTTGTTCTGGTGTACAGGGCTCTTTAAAGTCTACCACCATTTCTACGGTTTTGAGTGTGTTCAGTTCCAGATTGTTCCGGTTACACCACGAGGCAAGTTGTACAATTTCCTGTCTGTATGCGGATTCATCATAGTCTTGAATGAGACCAATGACTGTTGTGTCATAGAGAGTTTATTGATGTTCTCCAGCCTTCACCTGGCCTCAGAACTGTCTCAAATCAATCCAGCCACAAGCAAGTCAAGATTAGTCCACCAGTCCCTGGCCAATAGTCCATAAAACAGTAGAGAGTTGCTCCAAGTAACTCCACTGAACAAACTTAAATCCTCCAGGCAAAACTGAAAGTACATCCACGAGAGCTCATTTGGCAAGAGAGTCTCCAAGGCACAAAGTCAAGCAGGAAGCACGAGGGATAAACATACACAGCCATAAACCCAACATGTTGTTCTCAGCAATGCCTCCCTCTGCCTGCTGTGATAAATAGCTTTCTGGTGCAGCCCATTAAGACAGGCAGGGCCTCCTCCCGAGTAATCTGGCAGATCTCCGTTGCTCTTGTCTTTTCTCTGCCCTGTGTGCTCTCGGATCTGCCATGGAAGGCAGCTGCTCCTCTTTCTCTTCACTGACCGTCCACACCTGCAGACTGGTCCCAGCCGAAGCCTTCTGTAGATCTCTTTTGGCCAGCTGTTCAGAATCATCATGTCAGGTTTCCAAGTGATGAAATCCATTTAAAAGGAAAAGAGCAAAGTCCGACTTCCAAAACAATTTCTTTTATTTAGGAAAGCATCAAATTGGCAAATGTTGTAATTCTGGATCTAACACAATCTGGAATTACACCACATAATATTGGAAGTTAGAAACAGCCCCCCCCAAATCACATTCCCCAATAGAAGTAAATCAACGTTGCCTGGTGTCATCAATCTCCACCTCCAGGTCTCAGCAGGGCCAGCTTTCGTTCCCACGGGAAGGAGAACCACCTAAACAACTCTCTCTATCTCCACTTCTCCCACCTTAGGAATGTGGCAAGCCCGAAACCCTTCCCCCCCCCATAACCAGCAAAGAGAAAGAAAGGAAAGGAGTATAAGGCTAAATAAAGTGGCTACGCACATTAATTAACCCAGTTCTTTATGTGCCAGGAATGAGCTCGTCCTCCCTTGAGCCGACCTCTGAGGAAGCCTCTGAGGAATCGTCCAAGGGAGACATCCTACATGCTTTGAACAGTTGCTCTTGGCCACCTTGAGCTTTTGGATAACCCCCTGGGGATGTCCCTGAGTGCTCCTGGTGTTTTGGGGGCCCTTCCTTGAAAGCTTCCCATAATGACAGCCCTGATTATAAGTATACAGCTCTTTTTGTCCACCAGGGGACAGCACTTAGCTGACATTTGCTGAGTTTGAAAAAAATAAAAGCCACTTTTTTGGAGGGGGGACCACCTGGAGAGTCTAGGACAAGGATTAAGCTGGAAAGGAGGCTGTGGCAGAATGACTTCCCTATGATTGCCAAGAAAATTGTCCCTGAAGTAAGTCCCAAGGCTCAGTGAGGAGAGTCAGAAGAGAGATTATACAGTAGTTGACATCGGCTGGTTCACAAAAATGAAGGCAATAGACCAAATGGGCAGATCAGAGACGAAGAGAAACAAAAGACCATCTTGATTCCAAGAAAACTACCCGGAATACCCACTTGTTGTCTGAAAAACATTTGTATTTGTGGAAAAGAGAAAAAAATGAGAAAGTGAAGTTTTATCTAAGACAGAGAAAACCTTGCATCATCATCTTCTTTTAATCACCCCATAATCCCTTGGGGGTGGAGTCTGGGCAACTGAATGGAACTAGCAGAGTGTTTTACTGGCTGGATGCCCTTCCTGTCACCAATGCGGAGTTTTATTCAGCAGATATATTCTCATTGTGCCCAGAGAGAGAAATATTTGCCTTTACTTAGGATTGAACTCACAGCCTCCTGATTGTGAGATGACAGCTTCACCTCTAGGCCACTGCACCACTCAGAGGAATCCTTGCATAGGATAATCATCCTATCAATCAGAAACCGGGGTCTTCAGAAGCCATGAGAAAGTGTGAGAAAGAAGGGTTGACATGATGGGGGGAGCCCAAAAAGTGTTTGACTTTGTCAGCAAGGCAGTATCAGGATCAGGGCAGAAAGAGGCTATATTTTATTTATTTAAAGCATTTTAATTTTAATTTTCCACCAAAAAGCCAGAATGTTCTACAGGCCATACAATCACCATCTAAAGATAAGCTAAAAAACTGTAACATGGAAGGAAAATAGGAGGAGGAGAGAAGAGAGGGGAAAACTCACAACAATTGGTAATGGGGACTTAAACTTATATTATCTCCAGTTATATAGACGGTCTGTCCTTCTATGATTTATAAAGCAGATGGCCTTGTCAAGGGCAGTTAGCACTTGGGAATGGTCTTTTCTGTGGCTCAAATAAATGGGGCAGGGGGTCAAGAGTCCCTCCCACTGCTAATGCCCCTTTTTTCTTTGGCACAGGGGCCACTCCAGCTACCGGGTTTTTGAAGCAGAGCGGGGTCCATGTGGACTCCAAAGGTTACATCGTGGTGAACAAGGTACTGTAGAAGCATCCAAACAGGCCAGCCAGGGAGGAGGTGGGGAGGTGGGGGGGTTGGCCAAGCATTGGACATTTGCTCATTCATTCATCCATCCATCAATTCAATTCAATTCATCCATCCATCCATCCATTCAATCCATCCATCCATTCAATCAATCCATCCATCCATCCATCCATCCATCCATTCAATCCATCCATCAGTTCAATTCATCCATCCATCCATTCATTCAATTCATTCAATTCATCCATCCATCCATCCATCCATCAATTCAATTCAATTCATCCATCCATCCAATTCATCCATCCATTCATTCAATCCATCCATCCATCCATTCAATTCATCCATCCATCCATCCATCCATTCAATTCAATCCATCCATCCATCCATCCATTCAATCCATCCATCAATTCAATTCAATTCAATTCAATTCAATTCAATTCAATTCATCCATCCATCCATCCATCCATTCAATTCATCCACCCATCCATTCATTCAGTGGTGGGATTCAAACATTTTTACTACTGTTTCTGTGGGCGTGGCTTGGTGGGCATGGCTTGGTGGGCATGGCAGGGGAAGGAGATTGCAAAATCCCCCTTCCCTCCCCACCCCACTGACCTGCTTTCCACTCCGTTCTCCTGTGCAGGGCAGCCAAAGGAGACCCAACCAATCAGCCGGGACTCAGTGGGAGGCAGAGAAGAGATGGGGTTGGTGGGGCCAGTCAGAGGGGGGATTTGCCGGTTCTCCGGACTACTCAAAATTTCTGATACTGGTTCTCCAGAACAGGGCAGAACCTGCTGAATAACATCTCTGCATTCATTCAATTCAATTCATCCATCCATCCATCCATTCATTCAAATTTATATAGCTGCCTACTTGCTCCCAGTGACTCTAGGCAGCTTACAGAAAATAAAAATACAAGGTAGAAGAAATAAAAATAATAAAAAATAATCAAATAATAACCTCCCAGATGCTGGGTGCTTTGCCTGCAGATGTTGCAGTGCCCAACTAGGGAACTTCAACAGTGCGAGGGAGAGTGGGGTGCGCAAACCACCAAACCCAAAGAGCACCAAGGAATCCACAGTTCCACCCTGTGGAAGTGTTTCAGGCAAGATGAGTGGGTATCCATCCATCCATCCATCCATCCATCCATCCATCTCAAATTTTAAAGTAAAATTTAATCCCTGATTATTTCCTGACTCAAATCTTGAGCTGGTTTTGTTCTGTGTGGATCTCTTTTCTCTCCATTTGAAAGTATCTGAGTAGAAGCGTGTGTGTGTGTGTGTGTGTGTGTGTGTGTGTGTGTGTACTGGGAGAAGAGACCGCACTCTCCAACTCAGCTGGGAGGACTGAAAGGGGGCCCTTCTTCAGGTTGGGGCTGCAGCTGTGTGACCAAAGCCCCAACTTTTTGTTAACTTGACCCTTATTTGGGGATCTACTAAGAAGGGATCTCCAACCTTGGCCACTTTACAGCCCTATGGACTTCACCTCCCAGAATTCCCCAGAGAGCCCACACTCTGCTTGAAAACCCCAACGAAGGAGACTTCACCCAACAGGTAGCAGCCTCTTCCACTGGGGAGCTCATGTAGCCAGGAAGATCCTCTCCAGTGTCCAATGGCTGCCCAATCTTTTCTCACTGGAGATCTTCGAGAAAAGACTGGACAGCCATTTCTCCAGGATGCAATAAGGCCCCCTCCCTTGAGGGGTTGGACTAGAAGACCTCCAAGGTACCTTCTAGGCTGAGGGTTCTATGATACTTACCTGGTCACCCATCCATGGGTATGAACGTTACTTCCTAACTCAGCCTTCGACCACTGATAAAACAATATTGTTGTCGTGTGAATATTCACTTCTTGGCCCGTGTGCTGTGCAGAAGCCAATATCACTAAGTGATACTGTGAGGGGAATCTCGGAGTCCAAGTGGGACAATCACTTAAATATGAGCCAGCCGTGTGCTACAGCTGCCAAAAAAGCCAACCCAGTTCGAGGCTGCATAAACAGAGGGATGGAATCAAGATCATGTGAAGTGTTAATACCACTTTATAAGGCCTTGGTAAGGCCACACTTGGAATACGGCATCCGGTTTTGGTCACCATGATGTAAAAAAGAGGTTGAGACTCTAGAAAGAGTGCAGAAAAGAGCAAGAAAGAGGATTAGGGGACTGGGGGCTAAAACATGAAAAGAACGGTTGCAGGAACTGGGTATGTCTAGTCTAATGAAAAGAAGGACTAGGGGAGACAGGATGAGAGTGTTCCAGTATCTCAGGGGCTGCCCCAAAGAAGAGGGAGTCAAGCTATTCTCCAAAACACCTGAGGGCAGGACAAGGAGCAATGGGTGGAAGCTAATCAAGGAGAGAAGCAGCTTAGAACTAAGGAGACATTTCCTGACAGGACAATTAACCAGTGGAACAATTTGTCTCCAGAAGTTGTACGTTCTCCAACACTGGAAGTTTTTAAGATTGGATAACCATTTGTCTGAAATGGTACAAGATTTCCTGCCTAAGTAGAGGGTTGGACTAGATGACCTACAAAGTCCCTTCCAACTCTTCTCTTCTCTTCTCTTCTCTTCTCTTCTCTTCTCTTCTCTTCTCTTCTATTCTATTCTATTCTATTCTATTCTTTCGCAAAGACCCCACTGCCGCCGAGCTTCGGTTTTTGAAGAAATTAGCAGCAGATCTGTTTAAAGTCATATAAAAATGCAATTCAAGCTACGCAGTTGTGGAAAACACAGCAGTGCCCAGGGGTTGGAAAATATCCATTTATATTTCAATATCTGTCCTGTGATTGACCCACATGTTTAATTAGTCCTTGGAAGAGAGGCTGCCCAGACAAACTAATCTTCCTATTTACTTTTGTGAGCTGCAAGGTAACAAACCTCCAGTTCTAACCCCAACCAGGTAATTATTTTCCTCTTTTGTCTTAGCAGGCGTCTCCAATAATGTTAATCCTCATTAATATGTAACCCTCCTTTGCTGATAACCAGGCCACTCCAGGGGTGGAGGTGGGGAGATGTGGAAGGGCTATAAATCTTGCCCAAGGAAAGCGGCCCCTTTGCAAGTTCTGCAGCCCATTCCTTTCCTCACAAGCCAGGCTCCCTGTGTTGTTTCCAGAGCAGGGCTGGGTTACCTTTCTCACTGTCCATATTTGCCCAAGGACAAGGCAGCTCTGCTTGCTTCAGTCAGAACCAAACCATTTCTTAGTTATTTGCTTCCCTTGTGCAGCTGAAAACCAGGAAGTGTCATAGGGCTGTCCATTAAAAACTCAACCAAAACTATCAGGATGCAACTGGTATAAAAATTAAATGATGCTAGCTGTGGAGAAGTACCTAAAGAAACTTGCAGGTATTCCTCAGCATCTCTACCTCTAGTGATCACTTGACTTGTTGCATTTTTTAAAAGAGGTTGGACAAATAGTCATATTTGCTACTGAAAAAGTTAAGGAAATGATTCAGTCTGCTTGCTTTGCCTGTCTTTTGAAACAATCTATTGATAGTGCATCCATCTCCCCCCCTCCTTCCCTCCCTCCTTCCTTTTGCTCCTTTCTTGCCTCCTTCGTTCCTTCCTTCCCTCCCTCCTGTCCTTCTAGCCCTCCTTCCTTCCCTCCCTCCCTTTTTGCCCCTCCCTCCCTCCCTTCTTTCCTTCTGTTAATTCTCGTAATGTTCATTATTGTTTTTATTTCATTCTGTTTGCTGCCCAGAGAGTCACTCATTAAGGTGGAGGGGCCATATATATTGGATAAATACATTTTTTTTAAAAAAGAATCCACTCAGTCAGATTGGCAAAATCCACAGCTATCACATTTCTTCCTTAGAAAGTGTGGAAGAAATGCAGAAGTCTTATATTCCTCTTTCTTCCCTCCCTCGCTTTCCTTCCTTTTTGCCCCTTCCTTCCTTCCTTCCTTCCTTCCTTCCTTCCTTCCTTCCTTCCTTCCTTCCTTCCTTCCTTCCTTCCTTCCTTCCTTCCTTCCTTCCTTCCTTCCTTCCTTCCTTCCTTCCTTCTCCATCACTGGAGGTTTTTAAAGAGAGATTGAGCAGCCACCTG